AACTATATTTAAGGTATGTCTTTAGCACAGTTTCAGAATCTCCAAAGACTAGCCAATCCAAGTTTGGAAGAATTCTCTTTTCTGTTGTTTTAATAGGTTTTAGCAGCTTCAATTTACCACTCTTGGATCTCAAGGAATTCTAGCAAGTTTATTTCAAACTTTAGCACAAGCTCATCGTATACAACTATGGCTAGTGAGGATGGAGAATATTCTGAAGGAAATGCAGAAATTGAAACTTTAACAGAAGATCTCAAGTTCCTTAACAGAGCACTAATGACCACGGCCGGCCAGCCATGGCTTAAGAGCACCATAAAACAAGTAGAAGTGAAATGTTTCATTAAGATACTCCCAATTTTCATGTCAACTATTATGCTCAACTGTTGCCTTGCTCAGCTTTCCACCTTTTCCACCCAACAAGTGGCCACTATGAACACGAAAGTTGGATCCTTTAAAATTCCACCAGCCTCTCTCCCAGTATTTCCTGTCTTGTTCATCATAATACTTGCACCGGTCTATAATCATGTAATCATTCCATTCTCCCAGAAGGCAACGAATACAGAATTACTTATCTACAGAGAATCGGAATGGGCCTGGTTCTTTCAATTGTGGCCATGGTTGTTGCAGCTTTCGTAGAGATGAAGCGAAAAAGAGTGGCAATACAATCTGGCCTAGTGGATTCAACTGAACCTCTTCCAATCACATTCTTTTGGGTGGCTATGCAGTACGTGCTCCTTGGTTCAGCCGATCTGTTCAGCTTGGCAGGTATGGTGGATTTCTTCTTTACAGAAGCACCTAGTAGTAAGAAATCATTGGCAACAGCTCTCTCTTGGGCTTCATTAGACATGGGATATTACCTGAGTTCAGTGCTGGTAGCTTTAGTCAATTGTATAACTGGCTCATTTCGGCACACACCATGGCTCTATGCCAGCAACATCAACCATGATCACTTGGAGAGATTTTACTGGTTTATGTGCATATTAAGTGGATTGAACTTGTTGCATTATCTCTTTTGGGCACAACGCTACAGGTATGGATCATCAGGAAATGATAATCAAATTGTAAATAACTGACAAAGGCAGAAGTAGCTCATAGAAATAAAGATGTAGAGAGGGACCGAGTTCTGAAAATTATGGTTTCTTGGGGAACTTCATCTCCTCAACTACTGTTAAATAATTTTACTTTTATCTTATCAGTGAGTTTTAATTTCTTAATTTTGTTAGACCAGACAACTTATTCTACGTGATATTAGGTGGGGAATTAATCAACTGTGTATTATCATCAAATTAAGAATATCAGAAACACAACCAATCAATCACTGCAAACAACTAATCAATAATCCAAGATTAATACAAACAAACTTTTGTCATCAAATCGAAAAGATCATAAAAGACAACATGTCATCATCCATATATTATTAATATTAGAAACAAGAGTTCCCTACAAAAATAAAATACCCACACTGGTATAAGTTTTTATATTCTATCTTTGATCTTGACTCATTTGGTATCAATGTGGGGAACTTTTGCTTCTATTCGATCAATTGGTCTGATTCGTCATAATGTGGTGGACGAGTCGACCAAGAGACCTATACGAGGATCCATCTTTCTCCATACTCATCCTAATCTTCTCCTTCATCTCTTCGACCTTCTTTCTTGCTTCACTCTCACTTTCCATCAATTTCCTTAACCCTCTTTCTATTTCATCTGCTGTAACAATAGGCTCATCATCCCAACAAACCTCAACCCCCAATCCCAATTCCTTCACAAGTTGAAATGCATTCATCTTTTGTTCCGCATACAATGGCCAAGTGCCTATGGGCACCCCATACCATATACTCTCCAACACCGAGTTCCATCCACAATGCGAGACGAACCCACCCAATGCAGGATGCGAGAGCACACGCAACTGTGGGATCCACCCCACTACCTTCCCGACACCGGCCGTCCGCACAAGAAATCCTTCGGGCAAAACTTCCCCAAAATCCAAATATTCACTCGGGAACTCCGCATTCTTGTTCTCTGCTGATATCTGACGAAGAGACCAAAGGAAACGACAGCCACTCCGCTCAAGCCCACGAGACAACTCTTTAACTTGGTCCTTGCTCAGACCGCCCTGGCTCCCAAAACAAAGGAACAGCACCGACCCTGAAGTCTGCTCATCGAGCCATTTCATTATACAATCATCTGTATCCCTCGGGTGTGGAGTTCGGTTTAGAATCGGCCCGACCGAGTAAACCGGAGGAACTACTGATATACCATAGGCTGCTGAGAGTGAGAAGGAGCTGAGTGCAAAAGCTTCTAGCTCTTCACATGTATTGACGATAACGGCTTTGGCCTTTCTATATCCCCTTGCATAGTCCAAGAACCGGCCCAACCAGAAATCCTTGTCCACCAATACATCAGACAGAACATTAGCCGGAACCGGATTTTCAAAAGTCGGGATCAACACGAGTGAATTCGAGTTTTTCAATTCAGTCACGTCCTGCATTTGCTCATCCTGAAGGGTCTGAAAATGAATCATCGAACCCAAAAAACTCGCCGGAGATGAGAAAAACACATAGCTAGGGAGCTGGAATTTCTCTGCAACATCAATCATGCCAGTGACCAACATGTCAACTACAAACCCAACAACTTTTGCCTTGTGGGACTTGACGAAATCTTCTACGTTCGATCTTTGGCTCTGTACAAGGTTATGGACGAAATAGCCTCGAGTTTTTGAGCTCCATTCCGGGGTAGGATTTGCCGGCGGAAGCTCCAAAAAACTGAGACGAGAGGAAGTGGTGGCGCTAGTGGATCCGGCGGCCGAGAGAGAGTCGAGAAAGGAGCTACTTACAGTGTCTTTATACGCCGGCAGCTGCATAAGGAGGACTGTGACGGAGATCCCAGGTTCACGATCGATAATTAGCTTTGCTAATTCGACTATTTGTATATGGCCCATCAATGGCCAGGGGATGAAAACAAGGTGTTGAGTATTATCCATGGAGAAGATGAACAAATTCACAAGAAAATATTGGAATGGATTATACTGATTATCCCCAACTTCAAGGGCCTGCTCCCAAGTGTACACCCACAACAAATGTAGAGTTTATATGTAAAACTCATTTAGTCCCTGAACTTGAGCGAGACTTTCAATTTCATCCTTGGTTTTAATTCAATTAATGAAACTTCGATTTTTGTTTCTCGTCCATCCTTTCATATACATTCATTCTTATAGGAAACGTCTAAAGTGTGAACATTACATTTTTCCGATGGGGATAGCAAATCAGCATTTGTTGAAAGCGAATTTTCTAATTTTATATTGTACAAATTAAACGAGGGAAGTAATTTGTTGAGGAGCAATATTTTAACGTCAAATATAGCCATGTAGACAAGCCGTTGATCAAATAAACAAATTTGTTATTCATCAACGAGTGTGGATGGCTGGAAAGCAAAAATTGAAGTCGACGATTTAATTTGGAACACACCCTAAAGTTCAATGACCAAAAGGGTATCTAACCCACAAATTTATCATTGCTTTAAACAATCACAAAATAAATAAATAAAATAGAGGAGGAGATAATTGAATTTGACTACACGTTTACTAGGCAATAAATTTGATGAAGCTCGTGTGCCTAATAAAATACATTGACATACCTTTTATTTTACACTAAAGAAGATTTCCAAATCATTCGATCAAATTGCATTTTCCTTAAACAATGGGAGCAAAAAGCGGAGATACATAATAAGACCACAAATTATCAAGATTCTCACCTTTAGTCAGCCTCTTGCAACCCTTCCAAAACAAGTGATCCCACAAACAAACCAACACCCCCAACCGCAAGCAACCCACCAATCACTACCTGGGCCGCCACCAGCCCTGCCGAGTCATCTGGGATCACCAGGATTGCCACCACTGCCGCCACCAAAATGGGAAGTGAAGCCGAGGCCAGGACAGAGGGTGAAAAACTGGCTGCTCGTTCCAATAAACTGAGCAGCCCGAGCTCCTCAGCCTTTGATAAGACTCCCAACTTCTCGATAGATGACAATGTGAATCCCAATTCCTCTGCCTTGGATAATAGGCCGGCCTTTTCCACATTGCTTAGTACTTTTCGTTTCTCGATTTTCTTGAACACATCGATTTCTTGCTCTTCGCTGCCTTCATAGAAAATGCCAGCGCCATACCATTGTTTTGCCCAATCAGTATCGTATTTATTCACCTAAAATTTAAAAACATCGCGATCCAATTTTCATTCTGAAAATTAAGAAAACATATTCGACAAATTTGCATCCAACAAGAAATCTATTATCCTTAATAAAACACCGATTTGCTTGTTGTCACTTAATTCTATCGTTATAGATTTTCATGTTTTATTTTCATTTTGCCTAATTTCAATTAGAATATTATGACATTGCTAGTGATAGTGTAGTTTATTCAACTAGAATTCTGGAGTTCAATATTTCCCAAAGAGAAAAAAAGAAAAACAGACGTATTCATCATTTTCATTTACCATTAGCTAAATAACCTTATCTGAAAAGTTCCATGAGAAAAGGTATATAATTATTTATTTAAAATCCAATCCTCAAAAAGCCACTCACATGCATAATTTTTAGAGTCAAACAGAAGACCTAATTTCCAACTATTTATCAAAATTGTACATGTATGAGGCATTTGATACAAAATTAGTCTATTATTTTTTAAACAATTTCTTTCATCTTTTTATAGGCTATTGAATAAATGTAAAATGACTGCAAATTCCTAATTTTCTCTTCTTTAGTAGAACTTTCTAAATCAATAATTAATAGAAACGAGTACATATATATGTGTTTGTATGTACCTTCTTTTTGGGTGCCATGGCTAGGAATCGTGGGCGGTAAGTGGCTGGAAACAGGCGGCGGAATCGAGGCTTTGATGAGAAGAAACTGTGACGGTGCTCTATGTTTCCCAGGTAACTACTGGCACTTGTTGCCGCCGCCATTTGATGAAATTGTTAGTGCAGAATCTCTGATTTTCCGGCCAATTAATCGCCGGAAGATGTAAATGATTCTGTGGCCAGTGGGAAATAATTTGTTAGAACTGAATTTTTGGTTGGAAGGAAAAACAAAATCCACTGGGAAATCTTCCGGGGAGTGTTTCGACCAATAGCTGCGTTGCTTATCCTATCTGGAACTTTACGTGGCTAAAGATGGAAAATTCCTGTATTACCCTTATTTTTCTTGCTGGTGACTTTTTTGTCGCACATTAGTGTAGAATAATGCTATCAAATTGTTTGGTATGATTCAATGGGTGAATACAGATAACTTCAGTTTACTCAAGAGTCAAACACTATAGATGTCTTCATGATTTCCTTATACTGGAAATTTGTATGGGTTATGTTTGATTTCTGAAGTTCCGCAATACACCAGACTTTCATTCTTTGTAGTCTGTATTTCCATTGTGAGAGAGGAATGTCATCAAAAGTGAATTTTGGTGAAGAATTGCTACT